GTTCACTCTGGTGGCCTCACGTTAAGTTCTTGCTCTGTGGGGCTCGTCATTTCATGGCAGATATCTATTAATAGAAAATCCGGGCGTACAGTCTGGCTAATCTCATTAAGATATTAATCAAACATCCGGATGTTCCGTTTGGCCAATCCTCGTATATGTGGACCAGCGTAGTGGTTCTAAACCCATACGTCAACGCGTTTACAACTTTATTTAACGAAAGATTTTAGAAACTGTTAGTGCAATATGTATATGCGGAGATGCATTGTGAGAAGCTAATTTTTACGAAAGCACTGTCTAAAAATAGTAACATGACGTAATGCGATGTGCCGTTTTCCGGTCTTAGAAATGACAAGGCCCTATTCGAAAAATTATGTGAATCCCCTGGGACAGGCTAGATTGTCAAGGGAATTGCATCCAGCAAAGACCCTCAGAGGGATCGTTGATAATGTCTATCAAGACGTTTTAAAATTGAATCCACACGTGATATATTTGAACGGCGTGCAAGCGTGAAAGAACTGTCAACTATCAACACTGAACAGTACTACCTGAGCCTCTGTAACATGGTCTTCTGTTTGAAACGGAATACATTTCATGCTATAATAACCACAAGGGTTTAACAAACGCATTATTTTGTTTTGTTTTAACAGCGATTGGTAAACAATATGCTACTAGAATCGTGGGAGTATTATACCTGTGGGAAATTTATATCAGACTCGACTCCGAAGAAAACATTCGCGACTGTGCGTTTCTGTTTGCTGTACACTCGGTGAGGCCAGGCCCCCAAATCCACCCTTAGAGTTACGCCGCTGTTCCCACACAGACAAACAAACAGATAATGAAGCTGTGGGTGAGCTGAGCGTGATATTGATTTAGTTTCGTCCAGTCACTCTCATAAGCTCTTTCTTCGCGTCCGTTAATTTTAGTCTGACTACAAAGTGGCCTGAGATTGCAACTACACATCACACCGCGAGCTCATCAATATTGAAATTAAAGCCAAACTGCTGACGATTTATACTTTTTAATGTGGGTTTTTTTAAAAGGGGCGATATTTTTTAAGGTTATAGGCGAGATATTTTACAAATCTGGCCTTAATTACTTAAGTCTAAATCCCGAACTTATCATAAGAACTGAACTCTTTCTCAGCCATCATATCAATATTTTAGAATAACCTCCCCCACTCCCTCACACACACACAAATATTAAATAACTAAAAGGCGTCCCTACCATACACCAACTGATGAGTCTTACTATAGAAGTGTACTGAGGTCCGACAGTTATCATAGCTAGAATGCCTAAGTCAATTATGATATTTAAACCCCGCCCTAGAAATCATAAGCTTGATGGGCCTTTAAGTACACCAAAGAAAGGGTTTTCTCTCACAGACACACGAATGGTAAAAATACACGTGACATTAGGCTAAAAGGTCATTAGAACCATCTTTTTTTAAATAATGAATTCAATGTATATGTCCCAACCACAGTCTCTCATACTAATGACTCGCCCGCCTTAAGATTCAATGGAGACAAAGTTGGACAAGACTTAAAATGGTGAAGGACTTACTTAATAGTATCTACCTTAAGCACCATGCAATAAATGATTTTAATTGGTAATTTTTGGAGCGGATTTCAATGAACGTTTCTGATATTGAAACCAAAAATAGATACGATTCCTTAGAGAACTGAACGGTAAAATGGGGACGATTGTGTTCAGGCTGAAGCAATAAGAAATGTACCCAACCCCCAACCCCCCCAAAACGTGTGCTATAGTTGACTTCTTAGAGACATTTAGGCATTTCAGCCAAATCTAGAAGAAACCTGCAGAATATTTATGTTTGATGATATGGCTTGATGTCCATGTTTACTAAGGAAAAGTTAATATGATGAGTTAGGCGAAAAACAACACAAATAGAAATCGAAATAGGCACTGTATGCAATGTTCCCTCTAAGGATTGCTGGTTCATGTGCAAAATTATACAGTTGTGTGCAAAGTTTTACAGCACCAATTTTTTTGAGTGCAAAATTTTTACAGCCCACAAACACAAACGCACACTTACATGGAAATTTGCTGCGCGGATACTCAAAACTGCTGCGCGGCCGCGCAGCTTATATGGAACATTGACTGTATAATTTCACTTTGGTGTCCGGCTGGGAGAAAGCCAACCAAGGACATGTGAAGTTCTTGCACATGTGTTACGGGACAGTTTCCTGACGACCAAGCTTGCATCCAGGACCAGACGGAGAATCGGCAAGAACGGTTGAGACGTGAAGAGCGTGGTGCCTTCATTTGTTTCACTTTACAGTTTTGAGACGTGACTGGGCGCTCAACTACAACGTTTCTTCATTTACGCTCATAATGACGGCAAGCAAAGACTTATTATACACTAGTCCATATATATAAATATATACTTATTATTAGGTGGTTTGATATAGCGCAGTAACCCAGCCTATAGGGCTAGGCTCACCACGCTTCACACAAAAAATTAGCAATTACAGAAACGCATACATTTAAAAACAACAGTTGGTAAAAGGCTTGACCTCCCCCAGCCAAAGTACCATCTACCCTTGTCTAGCCATGGACAGCACCCATCCAAAGTACCATCTACCCTTGTCTAGCCATGGACAGCACCCATCCAAAGTACCATCTACCCTTGTCTAGCCATGGACAGCACCCAGCCAAAGTACCATCTACCCTTGTCTAGCCATGGACAGCACCCAGCCAAAGTACCATCTACCCTTGTCTAGCCATGGACAGCACCCAGCCAAAGTACCATCTACCCTTGTCTAGCCATGGACAGCACCCACCCAAAGTACCATCTACCCTTGTCTAGCCATGGACAGCACCCACCCAAAGTACCATCTACCCTTGTCAAGTCATGGTCAGCACCCAGCCAAAGTACCATCTACCCTTGTCTAGCCATGGACAGCACCCAGCCAAAGTACCATCTACCCTTGTCTAGCCATGGACAGCACCCAGCCAAAGTACCATCTACCCTTGTCTAGCCACGGACAGCACCCAGCCAAAGTACCATCTACCCCTGTCTAGCAATGGACAGCACCCATCCAAAGTACCATCTACCCTTGCCTAGCCATGGACAGCACCCAGCCAAAGTACCATCTACCCTTGTCTAGCCATGGACAGCACCCAGCCAAAGTACCATCTACCCTTGTCTAGCCATGGACAGCACCCAGCCAAAGTACCATCTACCCTTGTCTAGCCATGGACAGCACCCAGCCAAAGTACCATCTACCCTTGTCTAGCCATGGACAGCACCCAGCCAAAGTACCATCTACCCTTGTCTAGCCATGGACAGCACCCAGCCAAAGTACCATCTACCCTTGTCTAGCCATGGACAGCACCCACCCAAAGTACCATCTACCCTTGTCTAGCCATGGTCAGCACCCATCCAAAGTACCATCTACCCTTGTCTAGCCATGGACAGCACCCACCCAAAGTACCATCTACCCTTGTCTAGTCATGGTCAGCACCCACCCAAAGTACCATCTACCCTTGTCTAGCCATGGACAGCACCCACCCAAAGTACCATCTACCCTTGTCTAGCCATGGACAGCACCCAGCACCATCGAGTGTTGTTCATCAGTTAGAGGGTGTGAGAAGGAGTCGGTATAGTACAGTTTCAAGAGATGGGTCTTGAGGGCAGTTTTGGTGGCTGGGATGCGTCGTTCTAATGCGGATGTGTAATGGTAGAGAATTCCATTGTTTTCGGGCACAGAAAGCGAAAGATCGTCCACCATATGTTTTAGTGCGTGTTCTGGGAACGAAGGAGTGAATAGACACTAAGAAGTTCAGTAAGACAGGAAGGGCAGGAACCAGAGAAAAAGTTGTGACAGAGAACAGACAGCTTGTATTCGGACAAAATTTTTTATGATGAAAAACCCCTAAAAACAATAACGTTTTTTTTCCGTATAAATCCTTTATAAAATGTAATATCGAGGTGGGGCTGCAAATTTGCAAAGAACTTACAAAACAAGTAACGCACTTAATAAAAAGAATAGGAAGAATTAGGGATTCCTCACCCCCAAAGACTCTCACAACCACATTTTTTTCCCACGCCCCTAAACTATATTACTATTCTAATGACACCACCCTCTTTTATACCGCAGATTTAATTCACCAAAAATTTTAGAAATACCAAAAGAAATATTACGCACCAAACGAACTTTCGATATTTTTTTTCTCTAAAAATCTTCTTCAGCGCAGTTATCGTGAATGTTAATTAATCTTTATCTTGAAAAACTGAACAAACTGATTTTTTTTATTTGGGGGGGGGGGGGGGGGGGGCAGAACATGTGAGAGAGCGTGTTGTAAATCGGCAGTGAGTCTATATGCCAAGTTTCAGCTCGATAGGTTGACGGGAAAGGGAGTCCATTAGCCGTCCGAATATTTTGCCAGCCGCCCATGGTCACGAGCGATGTTATTAATAGAAAGGATTTGATTAAAATTAACCTTCGTGTTCGTATAAATCTTCTCTAAAGTGTCATATCAAGTGATGAAAGGATGGGGGCTGAGCATTTGACAAAACATGCATGCAAGTAACGCACAAGTCTCACAACCGCACATTTTACAGATCCTTGAACTCTATGAATATTCTAATGCCCCACCCGCTTTTACAACACAGATTTATTTCACCAACCTTTTCAGAAAAACAAAAGAAAATATTGCGCACCAAACACACTAGCGATGATTTAAAAAAAAAAAAAGAATCTCATTTAGTGCAGTTATCGGGAATTTTATTTCGTGAAATCAGTGCCATCATTTTCCTTCATCTCCCCCCCCCCCTTCTTTGAAAATTGGTGATTGTTGGGGTTTGGTGTTGGGTTTTGGGGCTGTCCACCTTTTCAAAAAAAAAAAAAAAAAAAATTGCCCACCAAAACACCAGGGATTAATTTAAAAAAAAAAAAAGAATCTCATTTAGTGCAGTTATCGGGAATTTTATTTCGTGAAATCAGTGCCATCATTTTCCTTCATCTCCCCCCCCCCCCTTCTTTGAAAATTGGTGATTGTTGGGGTTTGGTGTTGGGTTTTGGGGCTGAAAATTTGATAGAATATGCTGTCATCGGCAACGGGTCTATTCGCCAAGTTTCAGCTCGATGGGTTGACGGGAAGTGGGTTTATTAGCCGTCTGAAGATTTTTTTCTTCCATTCCGCCACCCAGCCAGCCACGGACAAAAAGCGAAGTTAATGTAAAGGATTTAAAAATGACAACCAATTCGTTTTTGGTATCAAATTATTTTCATTTTTTGTTGTACAAAATTTTCCCGGGGGGGGGGTTGCACTTGGATTTCACCCTGAGGGCAGCCCTCCACCAAGACAGAGATGCCTGGAAGAAACACGGTATGCAAGGCACACGTTTTACACAACACCACCAACACAATCAAACGAACGGATTGAAATTTAAAACAAACAAAAAAGTGTTTATTCAATTCTCTGTTTCATAAAGCTAAAAAAAAAAAAGAAGAAATTCATTGATACACAACAACCATCCTTTATCAACAATTTTCCCTGACGTCCCTGAATTCCCCTAATAAAACAATAATGTCGCCGACACATTTTGGATCTCTACGTCCGCAGAGAACCTGGAGTAGACTGTGGCGAACTGCCAGATCTCGGCCGAGACGTTCCCGGCGCCCGCGGCCAACGGTAGGGCGGCCCTGCTGTGGCTCGGCCCGACGAATATCGTCACGTCCGGCGAGGAGACGGTGATGGTGAGGTGGCTGACGCCGTGTGGCACGTTGATTTTGAACAGAGGGTTTCTCAGCGGCGACACCCGCATGCGGGTTTGCGTCACGTTCTCCGGGAGTTCGGACGTCACAAGCCTGCAAAGTCGTGCACAATCATGACGCGTTAGCAATAATTTTTTAAAAAATAGCATTATTATTATTATTTTAGTCATTATCATTATTATTATTTATTATATTATTATTGTGTTACCATTATAATAACTATTATTTATTATTATTATACTAGCGAGAACCCGGCAGGCGTTGCAATGCCACTCTAAGAAAGAAAGTGTTCGTGTTTTAATTAGATCTGTTTTTTTGGAGTATTTGTTTATGTAGCTCATATAAGAAAAAAAATAATTTTGGGGCCAGAGTACCAAAACATAATATTTTAAAGAGTTGTAATGACTCAGTGCTACAGTGAAATGAAAATTTTCTTACAGTGCAACAATGAAATGAATATTTTCTTGCAGTGCAACAATGAAATGAATATTTTCTTACAGTGCAACAATGAAATGAACATTTTCTTACAGTGCAACAATGAAATGAATATTTTCTTGCAGTGCAACAATGAAATGAACATTTTCTTACAGTGCAACAATGAAATGAATATTTTCTTACAGTGCAACAATGAAATGAAAAGTTTAGTCCTGTGAAACAATAAAGTGGACATTTTCTTACTGTGAAATGTCTTTACACTCAAACAAAGTAATCCCGACAAATCTGAAGCACTCGGCGACCACTTCCATATCGTATCCAGCTTCATAAGCTCCCTTGAGTGTACCGCACGCGCCATTCTCAAAGGTCGTCGTCTCCTTCCAGTACAGTCTGTTGGCGTTGACAAAACACTCCATGGCGGCGCTGTTGGAAAAGAAATATTGCGGTCACCTCTGACCTGGTTCCAATGGCCAAAAGTACCCTTTTTTTCTCTCTTTTATTTATTTTCTATTTTTTTTCTCTCTTATATTTAATTTATATTATATATTTTTCTCTGTTATATTTATATTATATACGATGCAATGAAATCGATATTTTAGAATATTTTTTTTTTAGCTGTTGGAAACCCTGAAACCAAAAGATCGCATGTACTTCAAAAACATATACACCAATATGTGGAGACAATATCTTTTTTTAAAAATTCATGACATGCTAATATAGTATGGATGTAGTAGGACATCCTCGGAAGAGACAGCAAGAAAGCTGCTATCTATGTAGCTGAAAGTATCAATTGCGGCGTTTGAGACACTGTTGTTCTTTTGATTAGATCAGTCTTTTAGAGAGGCGACTCACAGCATCCCAGTCCCCGTACACGCGATATTCAGTGAGTAACAAATGTAATCCTTGAATTATAAATTATCCCCTTTAAAGTTATATATATATATATTCCCACTTTATTGAAATCCCCCCCCCCCCATTTTTTTAAAAATATTCGAGGCAGTGTCTGAAGACTTTTTTTTTTTTTTCTCTTAAAATCTTATTTTCGATGAAATCTTCCTAATTCATGACTTCAAGGATTCACCTTCCTAACTTCACCCCGGAGGAAATAACTGTGTTAGTTTTAGCCTCACCATTTAGCAATGTTCTATCATTACAACAAACAAACTGATCATTAACGGTTATATGGACCCGCGATTAGAATCATTTTGATTTAATGTGTTGTGTGTAGTTGACACGCCTTTGCGCATATTGTATTTTAGTTACCGGGCCGTCCTTGGAAAGCATCCTGTAAGCTAGCTGTGCACGCGCCATGCTAAACTGGTGTCACATCGTCTCTTCTCGGAGCTGTAAGTGTGTAGAGGGTTAACACCGTTCAGCATGTGTTCATACAAAGTGGAAGGCGTGCTACTCTTTGTACAAAGTGGAAGGCGTGTTACTCTTTGTACAAAGTGGAAGGCGTGTTACTCTTTGTGCAAAGTGGGAGGCGTGTTACTCTTTGTGCAAAGTGGGAGGCGTGTTACTCTTTGTACAAAGTGGGAGGCGTGTTACTCTTTGTACAAAGTGGGAGGCGTGTTACTCTTTGTACAAAGTGGAAGGCGTGTTACTCTTTGTACAAAGTGGGAGGCGTGTTACTCTCTGTACAAAGTGGGAGGCGTGTTACTCTTTGTCACTTTCGTTGAGATAACGACGGGTACAATTTCCCTAGAGAACCTCTGTCAAAATCAGGACCGTGCCAAAAAAAAAGGGGGGGGGGGAGCAATGGGACAACTCCAGGCGTGGGCCGTTTTTCGATAGGACCTGACAATTGTAAAATGTCTTTTTTCCTATATATGTAGTAGCCGCATTTTAAGGGCTACTGGAAATTTGATCGAAACAAATTTCGTCGACGTTAAATTGTTCGACGGAAATTCGATCGAATGGAAATTTGGTCGAATCTTTTCTTTTTTTTTCAAGCTCACACGTTAAAATTTTCGTCAAATTTCTTTGTGGACGCACTATACTGTATAGCAAAACCAAATAATGCGTTCAAAAAAGAAATTTGAAGCAACATTTTAACGTAAAAACTGAAGAAAAAGAAAAGGATTCGAACCAAATTTCCGTTCGATCAAATTACCGTAGATCAATTTACCCTCGACGAAATTTTTTTCGATCAAATTTCCGGATACGCATTTTAAGGCTTTGCGCAGGGCGCCGTTTTGCCTTGTCACGCTCCTTGGTGACATTACCCTGTGATATTATTAGCCACACTATTGATTACACCAGTCCTGACGACATAAGTCACTATTATCTTACTGACCTGACTCCAATCGCCTGAGAGAGGTTGTAGAACACCTGATTGTAGACACCACTGCCGTAGTGGACATTCATGTTTACTTTGAAGTCTTTTACGTGGTTGATGGACAGACCATCCCTGGTGGGGTTGTCAAAATATCGCAGTCCCTGAAGATTAATATAATATATATATATTTATATATGTATAAACGATACGAATAAATTGACATACAGCTTTTGATTGATGAATATTAAAGCCCGTTAATAAGAAATACAAGGTTCTCAAATTGATACCTTTCGTCAAATATAATTTTTAAATAACCAACCCTTAAAAACAATGTTTTCGTATACATCCTTTCTTCGCATTTGTAAAAAATATTTTACTTTATCTTAACATTCCAATGTCCCAAACCGCTTTTACACCGCACATTAACTGCAACCATTTCAGGAAAGACAAAAGGACATATTACTAACCGACCACTCTTGTGATATTCTTAAAGAAAAAATCTCAATTAGCGCAGTTATCGGGAAATTTATTTCGTGAAATCATTGTCATCCTATTTCCTTCATCTTCTCTTTGAAAGACAGAAAAAAATATTTATAGTTGGATGGGGCTGTATTGTTTATCAGCAATGAGTCAATGTGCCAAGTTTCAGCTCGATAGGTTGACGGAAAGTTGCTCAAATAGCCGTCCTAAATTTTGCCACACACGAAGACAGAAAAAAAAAACCAACAACACATACGACCAAAAATGAAGTTAATATAAAGGCTTTAAAAATCCTTAACTGACTTTGAATATCGTTGAATCAGAAATTATCGATGAATCGATGAGAAGATATATCGGGTTACTTATCAGCTTCTGTGGCAATGTCAGTGTTTTTTTTTTTATGTCAGTCAATTTTGAAAACACATCACTCAATCTGTCATGATGACATCTCGAGGTTGCTCCACTTACACGTACATCCCGCCCTGGACTGGTGATGTGTGTGAAAAGTCTTTTCCGTTTTGTATAGTTGATGCTCTCCCCATGTATAGAATTCTCCCCCCCCCCTTAACACACAAACCCCCCTACCTACCAGGAGCGTCATTTAAGGGGTTTTTCAAAGAGGGGGGCGGGGGGCTTTTTGAGTTATTTATTAATGGAGCCGCTTATTGTACATCGCAATCGGAATAAAACCTACAAATTCAGGGACTTGCCCCTCCCTCCCCCATGCCCTACCCAAATGACGCCCCTGCCCTCTTTCCACACAACTATATTTCTACACAACTATATTTCCCCACAACTATATTCCCCCACAAGTAATGACAGCGTCACCCAGAGTGTTGATTTTAAAAGCAAATGAAAATATAAAAACAGACATGTGTAGGTTTAATGTTTCCCTGCCGTGTGTGGTGTGAGTGTGTGATGTCATTGTGTGGTTTGTGTGTGTTGTGTGTGTTGTGTGTGTGCGGGTGTGTGCTGTGTGTGTGGGGTGTGGGTTGGTTTCGTGTGGGTGGGTGTGGTTTGTGGGTTATGGGTGGGTGTGGTTTGTGTGTGGTGTGGGTGGGTGTGGTGTGTGGGGTTTGGGTGTGTGTGGGAACCTGTGTGTGTGGGGGGTGTGGGTTGGTGTGGTGTGGTGTGGTGGGTTGTGTGTCGGTGGAGGGGGTAAAAATAATAAACTTGTAACTTCTGCCTTTTAATTTTATTTCTTAACTATTGCAATAAAATAAAAAATGTAATCGCTTTATATTATATGCGATCATTTTAAAGTTTAAACAAATACTTTGATTCCAAAATGTATACGGAATGCGCATTAGAGCATTAATTTATTACTAGAAATAGCTGACAAACATTAGGTGACAGTAATGTGTGAACTTCCCATCTACTTGTTATAGCTCACCAAACATTGGCGACAGCAATGAGTGAAATTTCCATCTACTAGTTATAGACCAACAAACATTGGCCACAGCAATGCATGAACCTCCCATCTATACTAGTTATGGCTCGCCAAACATTGGCGACAGCAATGCGAGAACTTGCCTTCTACTTGTATAAGCCCGCCAGACATTGAGGACAGCAATGCGTGAACTTTCCAAATATAGCCCTAAAATCATTGGCGACAGTATTGGGTGAACTTCCCATCTACTACTTATTGCCCGCCAAACATTGGCGATGGCAATGTGTGAACTTCCCATCTACTCAAGTTACTTGACAAAATATGAACTCAAGTATCGCACATTTAAGAATCCCAGTTTTTGCTACACCCCTTCCCCCCATGATACGTCACTGCACGATTTTTATTTCACGCCCATGAAATATATTAATATTCTGATGTCCCAACCACTTTTAAACCGGGTATTTTTCATTTTCCGAAAAGAAAGAACATATTACGCACCAAACCCAGTTGCGCATTCAATTCATTCTAATAAAAGAAAATCATTTGGCGCAGCTGTCGGGAAGTCTATTTTGCGCGCTATCCGCAAACGGAAGCAGACACACCACACACAAACATATATAAAAGATGATTATAATAACTTTTGAAAACAGTTTAACCTTTAAATTTTTAATCATTATTGGTTGCTGACCTCTTTCTTCGTCTCGGGCAGGTACAGGTTGTCAATGAACATCTCGCCGGCCACCAGCCAGTCGTTCTTCCCAAAGGTGTACAACTCGGCCGCCTCCCCTGCCATGTCGGAAAATGCCTCATTGATGGCCCCGGACTCGCCCCTGAAAGAGAGGTCTGAAATCGGTCATAAGGAAATGTGTACTAACACATAATTTGGTGGACTTTGAGCTTGACAAAATGAATATTTGCCCTAGAAGTAAATATCACTCAGGAAATACGAGAGGCCCTTCGCTATCGCTCTTTTTTTCTTTTTGAGCAAATGAAGAGTAGGTGTGGTGGGGGGGGGGAGGGGGTTGTGGGGGGGAGGCAGATGGGATTTAAAGAAGCACATTTTCTTTATTTTTCTTAAATTCCAGCATAAACGAAAAACTAAAAAAAATATATTTTAAAGAAAATAAAATGAAATTGAAAAATAAAAAAAATATCCAAGGTTTTTAAAATTATGGGCACGAACAATAGTAAAAACTAATTATTTGAGGCTGAAATTTGGATTTGTCAAGAGCTACAGTGTAGCTATAGAGAGCATTTCAGCCGAAAATGGATCTGTAATCACGTTGGCAACTTTTCGTCTCAACTGTGACACCTTAAGACGAATAAAGTAAAACCACATTTAACGTTGTTAAAAAGCTTTCTATACAAACAAACAAAAACAACAACAAGCAAATAAACTCAACCAAGCGTGTCACCAGTAGGCTAGATTCGAAGCTCGCTCCGTGACCCCGTGGCTGAATTCGTGGGCCACCATGTCGCACCCGGTCAGCGGATGATTGAACCACCCGTCGCCGTCACCAAAGTACAGATTGGTTCCGTCCCAGAACGCGTTGTTGTAGTCGAATCCGTAATGGCACTTCACGTAGGGCACGTGATCGCCCATCGGGATGTGGTTGAACATTTCTGCGAATGAGAGCAAACGGACAAAGAGGACATCGAAACATATAGCTGCTGAGGAAGCTACCAAGCAGGCCCAAATGTACCTGGTAACTATTTTTTTTTTCCTCCAAGGTAATATGTTTCGAAGTTATCACAAATAATAGTTCTCTATGTATGTATGGCTGTAACGCTGCTGTCCTGTGCGCCGAAGAAGGCTCTATGCCGAAGCGTTCAAATCTTTTTGTCATATCATTTAATTCAAGCTTCAACATACCTCGTTTTGCAATTTCATTTACTTAGCTTGAATGCAGTCCAAAGGGCGCGCATGTTGCAGTTCTGATAAGTTAGCAGTTATTGGGATTCTTATAAATGTGCGATACTTGACTTCATGTTTTGTTTGATGTGGGTTATTTCTAATACCTAAATATAAATTAAACTGCATAGTTAAAACGTTAATACTTTAAACATTTGCGTCTATTGCCTCAGGCCTTCCAACCCCCAGTGCATGATTCCCTCACAAAATAGCTCTTCCAATCAGTGAAATATCCTCATAATCACCAGGCACAGAAACATTGCAATTCCCCTCTACATGCATAGGAGCCAAAATGATCAATAAATTGATCGTGGGCCCTTAAAAAAAAAAAAATATTAACGGTTTACTGTTTTTCCATTGGCCTGGGTTCGAAGCTTTAGATCAGCATTTCTCAAAATGGAGCATAAGACACCTCAAGGGGGCAGCAGAATATTTTTGGGGATCACGAAAAATATTTTTTTGAAAAAAAAAAAGGGGGACCTAATGTATTTTAAATCAGTTTTGTATTTTAAAAATAGGGAAGGGAGCGACAGAGGTCAATAAAATGTTAAAGTTTGCCACAAGCAAATATGAGTTGAGAAGCACTGCTCTAGAGTCACACTAAGAAACATGCCTTTTTTTGTATTGTTTTGTTGAAAAGTTTTAAAATAACCAAAATAAAAATAAAGAATGAATTTAAATGAACAGAACTCCATAATTCACAAGTTGAGGGTGTAAGTGAAGTTAACTGGTGAGTGCTGTAAGTGAAGTTAACTGGTGAGTGCTTTCAGTGAAGTTATTTGTTGTGTGCTGTAAGTGAGGTTAATTGGTGAGGGGTGTAAGTGAAGTTAACTGGTGAGTAGTGTACGTGAAGTTAACTGGTGAGCTCAAATTATTGCCCCCCCCCCCTTTTTCAAACCTTTTCATTTCACGCCATTAGCCCAGTTTGCATAGAGCCTGGAGTTGTTTGTGCCGTCTACGGAACGTTGTTTGGAACAAGAGAACAAAGTCCCCCCCTCCTCTCAGGGTAAATCAACAGTGCAGATGATCTGCTTAATCGGCTCTATTCTGCCATTTTTCTATCAACTTGAATGTCCGATCACTCCTAATTTCATGTCAATCCTAATTTCCTAATAACCCTAATTATCTATTAATACAATATTCCTGTGAATCCTAATTTACTATCCCTCCTAATTTACTATCAATCCTAATTTACTATCAATCCTAATTTGTTATAAATCCTAATTTAGTATCAATCCTAATTTACTGTCAATCCTAATTTACTATCAATCCTTATTTACTAATAATCCTATTTTTACCATCAATCTTAATTTACTATCAATCCTTATTTACTATCAATCCTAATTTACTGTCAATCCTAATTTACTATCAATCCTAATTTACTATCAATCCTAATTTACTATTAATCCTATTTTTACCATCAATCCTTATTTACCATCAATCCCAATTTACCATCAATCCTAATTTACCATCAAATCCTAATTTACTATCCATCCTAATTTACTATCATTCCTAATTTACTATCAATCCTAATTTACTATTAATCCTAATTTACTATCAATCCTTATTTACTATTAATCCTATTTTTACCACCAATCCTAATTTACTATCAATCCTTATTTACTATCAATCCTAATTTATTATTAATCCCATTTTTACCATCAATCCTAATTTGCCATCAATCCTAATTTACTATCAATCCTAATTTACATCAATCCTAATTTACCATCAATCCTAATTTACTATCAATCCTAATTTACCATCAATCCTAATTTGCCATCAATCCTAATTTACTATCATTCCTAATTTACTATCAATCCTAATTTACTATTAATCCTAATTTACTATCAATCCTTATTTACTATTAATCCTATTTTTACCACCAATCCTAATTTACTATCAATCCTTATTTAATATCAACCCTAATTTATTATTAATCCAATTTTTGCCATCAATCCTAATTTTCCATCAATCCTAATTTACTATCAATCCTAATTTTCCATCAATCCTAATTTACTATCAATCCTAATTTTCCATCAATCCTAATTTACCATCAATTCTAATTTTCCATCAATCCTAATTTGCCTAGTGCAGACCCAGCAGTCTTTATAACTCGCGGCGAACTTCTAACTTTTTTTAAAATTTATTTTTTATTATTTTTATTTAAATTTAAAAAAAAAATATTTTGTATTTTATTGTTTTAAATTATTTTTTTTTAATTTAAAAATTGTTCTTTTATTATTGTTTAATTATTTTTAATTATTTTTGTTAAAGAGTTTCCAAGAATTCCGCAAACAGTCTCTGCTAGACACATTTCTGTTATAACAGAGTTTGGTACCTTGGTTATAACGCCCCCTTTGTAACGACTACGTTCCCTTTGTAACGACTACGGCCACTTTGTAACAACTTCGTCCATTTTGTAACAACAACATCTCCTTTGTAGGCATCACGTCCCCTTAATAGCAGCCCCTCTTGTAGCGAGTACGTCCCTTATATAACAACTACGTCCACTTTGTAACAACTACGTCCCCGTTGTAGCAACTACGTCTACTTTGTAACAAAAGGGTTGGGGGCGGGGGGGGGAGGAGACAGATAGAGAGACAGAGAGACACACACACACACAGAGAGAGAGCTAGATAACGCAGCTGGGTTGAGGTTGAAGAAAATATGTGAAAGAAAATATGGGAAAACCCTGATGGAAAAAAAAAAGGACGCAACAAAACATGAACGTGTCGGCAAGATGCCTTCTTCGGCGAACGAACAACGAACGAACAACGTATAGAAGAAAAAAATTAAAAATAAAATAAAATAAAGACTTTGCTGGAAGGCAGTAGACGAGAGGACAGCAAAGGGAGATGTAGTGCGGCCAACTCTACAATTTTTCGGAAGGGCTACCTCTGTACATTAAAGTTGTCTTTGTGGCGAAGAAGAACGCATCGTACATAGGAGACGAGCCTCCGTTGACGTCATCCTTGTAACCTTTAGAACATTTAAAGCTGGCGATGTCTGTCTTGGTCAGGCTCATGGATCTCTTCTGGTCAACTCCTGGGGGAATAGATCAGCGTTTCGAAAACATCGTTAGACTAAAAAGTTAAATGTTAAAATGAATTACAACCTGGACGATCACAATTTTTTACAAGTTTAAATTATTTTAAATTTCTTTTTTTTTTTTTTTAAACCCTTTTATATTAGCTTCGTTTTTGTTCGTGTGTTTCTTTCTGTCTAGGCGTGTGGTAAAAATCTTTGGACAGCTAAGTGACCCACTTCCCGTCAACCTATCAAGCTGAAACTTGGAACATAGAATCGTTCCCGATGACAACACGTTCAATCATCTTTTCAGCCCCACTTCCAAAAATCCACGTTTTTTTTTCCCTGTTTTTTCAAGGGGCATCTTAAGGAAATATGATGACACTTCTTTCACGAAATAAACTTTCCGATATCTTCACTGAATGAGATTTTTTTTTTTAATATCGCAACTGCGTAATATTTTCTTTTGTTTTTTTCTGCATCAATTGCTGTAATAAATCTGCGGTGTAAAAGCGGGTGGGGCATTAGAATATTCATATAAACTAAGATCATAAACATGCATATAAATGATTTATACGAAACAATTTATTTTTAAGGGTTGTTAAAAATTTAAAAAAATTCTTTTTAATCAGCATCGCGTTAAAAAATTAACTCTAGACTGCTTTGGACAAGGTCAGAGGGAAACACTTTGTGTTATTTACATAACTGTTGATTTCATTTATGAAAACATGTTATGGAAGTAGTACCTATGAGGTCACTTCAATGGTGTTTCCTATTTATGTTTTCAAAACGTTATAACAAAAACTAGTAAATACCCAATATTTGTTATCACCTATAAAAATAAATTGAACCCTGTATTGCACCTCATGAGTTATTCTTTCTGGCTTTACAGTAATGGCCTGGAATACTTTTTTTTTTTTATTTTTATAAAGGAAATACAGTTTCAGCGCTATGCCATTTATAGGTTGTTTATGAACGGTTGATAGGTCCGTTTATATTGGCTGGTTTATAGTCCGTTTATAAGTTGTTTATAGCCTGACATAGCCGTTTATAATTTTTTTTTTATATCCCATTTATAGGTTAATTATCCCTTAAGATCCGGGATATTTCTCCAAATAAAGACATTTATAAACGACAACGCTCTCACTACGCAGACATAAGGTTAAGTTACGGAATAGTGTACGTCCAAATTTTTGTAAAACAGAGTAGCTGGCCCCATGGTTGCCTCCTACTTTTACCACCGTGGAATGGTTCCAGAATCATTTTTTGTTGTTTCTAAACTCTATTCCATTAAGTTAAGTAGGGTTAATTAAAACAGACCCCAATAAAAGTATTTTTTTTTGTTATTTTATTTTTAATGTATACTTTTACTGTGAATAATTTATTTCCTCTCAATTCACGGTGAATTCAACCGATCCATGTTTAGACTACTTAGCCAACCCACGACAACCACAAATGATATGAAAGCGGAAATGATATGCACCAACCCATTATTCCCTTTTCTCTCCGAAAAAAAAAAAATCTTGTTTTTCCCTCTTCGTGATCGTACCCCATAGAATCTCGGTGAAAAATATATGAAATACTTGAATAAATAATTTTATAATGTCTTTGTATACACACTAACTAGAGATAGATTAAAACAGAGCTAGGAATTTATAAACATGTGTGCATTACCTTTAACGAACTCGTTTTCAAAATGACAAATCTCGCCGTTGTTGGATGTTCCCATTGGCGTGAGACAAAATGGAGGCGTTCCAAAAATAATCGGACGATTTGGGTTTCCGCCAATGCCTTTTATGCGACATCCAATATTTGTGGTATCTGTTGTAGTTGTGTTGGTTGGTGTAGGTGTGGTAGTTGGTGTAGTTGTGGTAGTTGGTGTAGTTGTGGTAGTTGGTGTAGGTGTGTTAGTTGGTGTAGTTGGAGGAGTTGGTTTAGTTGTGGTAGTTGGTTTAGTTGTGGTAGTTGGTGTAGTTGTGGTAGTTGGTGTAGTTGTGGTAGTTGGTGTAGTTGTGGTAGTTGGTGTAGTTGTGGTAGTTGGTGTAGTTGTGGTATTTGGTGTAGTTGTGGTAGTTGGTGTAGTTGTGGTAGTTGGTGTAGTTGTGGTTGTTTGTGTAGTTATGGTAGCTGGTGTAGTTGTCGTAGTTGGTGTAGTTGTGGTAGTTGGTGTAGTTGGAGTAGTTGGTTTAGTTGTGGTAGTTGGTTTAGTTGTGGTTGTTGTGGTAGTTGGTGTAGTTGTGGTAGTTGGTGTAGTTGTGGTAGTTGGTGTAGTTGTGGTAGTTGGTGTAGTTGTGGTAGTTGGTGTAGTTGTGGTAGTTGGTGTAGTTGTGGTAGTTGGTGTAGTTGTGGTTGTTTGTGTAGTTGTGGTAGTTGGTGTAGTTGTGGTAGTTGGTGTAGGTGTGGTAGTTGGTGTAGTTGGAGTAGTTGGTTTAGTAGTGGTAGTTGGTTTAGTTGTGGTTGTTGTGGTAGTTGGTGTAGTTGTGGTAGTTGGTGTAGTTGTGGTAGTTGTTGTAGTTGTGGTAGTTGGTGTAGTTGTGGTAGTTGTGGTAGTTGGTGTAGTTGTGGTAGTTGGTGTAGTTGTGGTAGTTGGTGTAGTTGTGGTAGTTGGTGTAGTTGTGGTAGTTGGTGTAGTTGTGGTAGTTGGTGTAGTTGTGGTTGTTTGTGTAGTTGTGGTAGTTGGTGTAGTTGTGGTAGTTGGTGTAGGTGTGGTAGTTGGTGTAGTTGGAGTAGTTGGTTTAGTAGTGGTAGTTGGTTTAGTTGTGGTTGTTGTGGTAGTTGGTGTAGTTGTGGTAGTTGGTGTAGTTGTGGTAGTTGTTGTAGTTGTGGTAGTTTGTGTAGTTGTGGTAGTTGTGGTAGTTGGTGTAGTTGTGGTAGTTGGTGTAGTTGTGGTTGTTTGTGTAGTTATGGTAGCTGGTGTAGTTGTCGTAGTTGGTGTAGTTGTCGTAGCTGGTGTAGTTGTTGTAGTTGTTTTAATTGGAGTATTTGTTGTAATTGTATTAGTTGATGAAATGTTGGTAGTTGATGTAATGGTTGTAGTTGGTGTAATCGTTGTTGTTGGTGCAATCGTTGTAGTTGGTGTAATCGTTGTAGTTGGTATAATCGTTGTAGTTGGTGTAATCGTTGTAGTTGGTGTAATCGTTGTAGTTGGGCTAATCGTTTTAGTTGTTGTAATCGCTGTAGTTGGTGTAATCGTTGTAGTTGGTGTAATCGTTGTAGTTGGTGTTAGCGTGTTAGTTGCAGACTCATGAAGCGATGCTGCCATATTCAGTGTTTTAGTTTTCGAATAGGTTTGTGCCATAAGTTCCTTGATACTTAAAATATCCGTAGCCATTGCCATTGATGTAGCTGCTGTGACAGGAACTATTGATGTAACCAGTGTACTTGATGTAACCAATGATGTTGCAGTAACTGTGTCAGCGGATGTAACCAACAATTCTGGTGTAAGCGTTTCTGTGGATGCAAACAACAATTCTGATGTAACCGCGACTGTGGATTTAACCAACAATTCTGATGTAGCCATATCTGTGGATGTAACCAACAATTCTGGTGTAAGCGTTTCGGTGGATGTAACCAACAATTCTGGTGTAAGCGTTTCGGTGGATGTAACCAAAAAATCTGATGTAATCTTGTCTGTGGATGTAACCAACAATTCTGGTGTAAGCGTTTCGGTGGATGTAACCAACAATTCTGGTGTAAGCATTTCTGTCAATTTAAACAACAATTCTGATGTAACCTTGTCTGTGGATGTAACCAACAATTCTGGTGTAAGTGTTTCGGTCGATGTAACCAACAATTCTGGTGTGAGCATTTCTGTCAATTTAAACAACAATTCTGATGTAACCTTGTCTGTGGATGTAACCAACAATTCTGGTGTAAGCGTTTCGGTCGATGTAACCAACAATTCTGGTGTAAGCATGTCTGTCAATTTAAACAACAATTCTGATGTAACCTTGTCTGTGGATGTAACCAACAATTCTGGTGTAAGCGTTTCGGTGGATGTAACCAACAATTCTGGTGTAAGCGTTTCGGTGGATGTAACCAAAAATTCTGATGTAACCTTGTCTGTGGATGTAACCAACAATTCTGGTGTAAGCGTTTCGGTGGATGTAACCAACAATTCTGGTGTAAGCGTTTCGGTGGATGTAACCAAAAAATCTGATGTAACCGTGTCGGTGGATGTAACCAAAAATTCTGATGTAACCTTGTCTGTGGATGTAACCAACAATTCTGGTGTAAACGTTTCGGTGGATGTAACCAATAATTCTGATGTAAGCATTTCTGTCAATTTAAACAACAATTCTGATGTAACCTTGTCTGTGGATGTAACCAACAATTCTGGTGTAAGCGTTTCGGTGGATGTAACCAACAATTCTGGTGTAAGCGTTTCGGTGGATGTAACCAAAAATTCTGATGTAACCTTGTCTGTGGATGTAACCAACAATTCTGGTGTAAGCGTTTCGGTGGATGTAACCAACAATTCTGGTGTAAGCGTTTCGGTGGATGTAACCAAAAGTTCTGATGTAACCGTGTCGGTGGATGTAACCAAAAATTCTGACTTCACTGTTTCAGTGGATACCGCCACCGTTGGCGCTGCATCCATAGTACTTTGCGTAAGTGCTGTAGGGGATTCAATCCCATGGGTCTCCCTGTCTACCGAAGCTGTTGTTAAGGACGCTGATGTTACTCGTGACAAGCTCGGTGCATCAAATGTTTCCGGTGGAAGTGAATTAAATGCTGGTGTTGAAGTAACCGACGCAGCCGTTGTAACCGACGCAGCCGTTGTAACCGACATAGCCGCCGTAGCAAGGGTTTCTGTTGTAACATTTTGCATGGATGAAGCATCGCCTGGTAAAGACTTGTTTCTTGTTTCGTTGTTGCGTTGTTCTCTGAGTAAAACTGGAGATAAAACAAACATATACTCAGTTCAATATTTTGTTTTAGCTCAAAAATCAATTTTTTTACATTTATTAGCAATTCTTTAAAACATAGGTTTAATCCCTTTCTTAAAAAAAATTCATTATACGCATGAAGGAAAATTAAACATGTAGGTTGTTATAACATATGTAACGGACTATGTTTTCACATGAAAACAGAGAGGTAGCATGAGTGAACAGTGAATTGTGTTGACCATGTATTTTTGAGATGCAAATGTGAACTCCACGTTTTTGGAGAGTAAAATTATGTTTTTGTCAGAGCGGTTGTTTTCCACGCTTTGCTGGTAATAAAGTATGAGTTGACTGAGATAGGGAGAGCTGAGCGCAGAGAAGTAGAGAACAGTAGCGTGAGAGCTGTGTGATTAGACAGTTGACAGTTTAGTGTGAGGACGTGTCTTTATTAATGATGGAGTACTATGGATATATATATGAAATTACATTCATGCAAGGATTATTTATTAATATTATCAATATAAAGTGTGTTCAATAAAGTACTGTAAGTTTAACCAGGATTCAGTATTCTTATTTGCGTGCCCGGATTATAAGTTTTACATTCATGCAAGGATTATTTATTAATATTATCAATATAAAGTGTGTTCAATAAAGTACTGTAAGTTTAACCAGGATTCAGTATTCTTATTTGCGTGCCCGGATTATAAGTGGAAGAATGAAGAAGCCTTAGTCGGCATCCTGAAATATCAACATAACATAAGTAACCATACTACTGACATAACCCACAGCATAAGAAATAAGCTCCCACGCCATGTCAGAGTAGGTGTGTTACAAATGGTGTCAGAAGTGGGATCTGAACCCACGCCCATGTGGACTTGCTCAGAAAATATGACTCTGTTCCTGAAGAGTTAGAAACCATCAGTAATGAAATAAGTAGCACAGCCACCGTTGCTAGTGTTATACAATTAGAAGACAATGAAAATAACACCACAACAAACAGACACTTAACAACAATTCTGAAAGAATACAAAGATGTCATCACAGAGAACATAGGACACACTAGCAGTTTAGAACACAAGATTATATTAACACAGGAACCCACATTCAAACACAAAATCTATCCAATTCCATATGCATTTAGGGAAGAAGTAAAGAAAGAACTAAATCATTTAATACAGACTAACAAGATTAAAAGATCAGATTCACCAATAGCATCACCCATGGTAGTAGTAAAAAA